TATTACTAAGGGAAGAAGCTAATCTGAATAGACTATATACTGTATGATTCCAACTATATGTCATTCTGGAAAAGGTAAAACTATGGGAACAGTAAAAAGATCCGGAAGGATGGCCAAGCAGACCACAGAGGGTTTTTAGGGCAGTGAAACTACTCTGTACGGTGGACCCACGTCATCACGCATTTGTCCAAACCCGTGAGATCATACCCCACCAAGAGCGGACCCTCACGTAAACTATGGACTCTGGTGATGTGTCCGTGTAGGTTCACCAGTCATAACAAACGTACCGCCCTGGTGGGGATGTTGATAGTGGAGGAGGCTGTGCATATGGGGACCAGGGAGTCTGCGGGAACTCTCTGTACCTTCTTCTGCTCCATTTTGCTGTAAACCTAAAACTGATCTAAAAAAACTGCTAGAAAAAAAATTTTTAAAGTCAGTTTTAAATGTTGGGGGGAGAGCCCAAGTCTCTTCATAAACTAGAGCTGGCAGTGACCCCACCACCCGTGTAGGCTCATCCGACCCTGACCAGAGACTGTGTTGTGATGCTGACCGCAATCATTTTTAGTCAGGATCCAATTCTGACCATTATAATCTTCAGTGTCACCTGCAACTTGGTCCAAATCCACTGACCAGCACCTGTAAAGCTGCAAATGGGGCATCTCTTAGGGTAGTCTCTGGCCAGGGTGAGGCTGGCACCACCCCAGTGGTTGTGCACTCTCCCTGGACACTGGGAGGCCTTAAAATCTCAGCAAAGCAATTCCCTACCATTCACAAAGCATCTACAAATCTCAGGAAGCACTGGAGATTTACAGTGTTTTAGGACCTCACATGGTCAGAGCTTTCTCAGTTTTGGGGCACAACACTTCCCTCTGAGGTCAGAAGCTGCCTCACAGGAGAGAAACAATGGCCCACCTGGCTCTAGGAGTCGTCTCAGGATGCTAATGAAGAGTCCTGTCTGTGTTTTCTACTGCTGTTTAACAAATCACCACAAACATAGCCACCTAAAACAGCACAGGTTTATTATTTCACAGTTTCCATGGGTCATGAGCCTGGACACATCGCAGCCGGGTTCTCTACCAGGGCACTCCAGGCCTGCAATTCAGGCCAAGCTGTGGCTTCTCATGAGGCTCAGGGCCCTCTTCGAGGCTCATTCAGGCTGTTTCCAGAATTCAGTTCCTTGCATTTCTGGGGGTGAAGTCCCCCTTTTCTTGCTGGCTGTTGGCCAAGGGTCCCTCTCAATCCTAGCTACATGCCCCCCTCCTAGGGACCATGTACAGGCCAGAGGAGAGCATCTCTGATGCTTCACCTTTTATAGAAGGGATCACCCCCAATCAGCCCCCCTTTGACTGACTCAGAGTCCATTTATCAGCAACACAGCCATGGAAGAGAGCTCCCATCATAGCCATAGGCTCTGCCCACACCCAGGGGTGTGTGCCCACCAGAGGGCAGGAATCTTGGCAGCCACCTTACAGTTCCGCCTATCACTTATGCCCTGGAAAGACCTGCTGGACTTAAAATCAATTACTGCGAACAAAACAAAGGAGAAAAAAAAAACTGACGCCATGGAAAGTTTCGAAAGCAGGTCTTAAAAGACACCCAGTGCGCCGCCAATGTCAGAAAACCACTCTGGGAGCCACTGGGGCAGACTTCACACCAGGTCACTGCCCCAAGTTCAGAAACAAGAACATCAGACAATGTCAGGAGAAGTTGATCTGAACTCACAAGCCTCGCCAATTATTCATGAAGTGCTTCAAGAGGAAAAAGGTTTCCTATGGCTTCTATTACAAATCACAACTTTGTGGCCTAAAACAACATAGGTTTGTTGTCTTAACAGCTGAGATCAGAAATCCGAAACCAGTCTCACTAGGCTCAAGTCAAGGTGATGGCAGGGCTGGCTCCTTCTGGAGGCTCTGAGGGGAGAATCTGTTTCCCTGACTTTCTCAGCTTCTAATAATTGCTGGCACTTCTTGGCTTGTGGCCAGCCAATAACCTGTTCTTGCCATGAGCTCAGGACAGGCTGTCTTAGCTGCTCCCCTGGGGACTTGTCATGAAGTCGGCTTTATTCATTTTACCCAGTTAGTTGAGATCAGATTCCATCTTGTGAAGCCCCTTCCTATACTTCCACTCTTCTTTGGACAAAGTGCAAGATAGCTATGTGGTGACCACAACCCAGCTGGTGACCACCTGCCTGTCCCTTGATGGAAGTCTGCAAAGAAGTTTTCATTTCTGCTTTCTACTCTTTAGCTTGTCGGGCCACAAAGCTTCGAGGAGAAAATGTTCTTTAACTTGGATGTGCTGTTTCTGGAAGAGTACATCTGTGTTCAACCCATGGACCGGGTAAAATGGTCACTGGGATTCTTTCATTGTTAAATGCCTGTCATGTTACATGTAGCTGGAAAGTCAGATTCATCAACTTGATCAAAGAGAAATGAGGAAGCTTCTCCCCCGCCCCCCTTCAGTAAGTTTGACTGTTGCACTCGGGTTGGGTCTTGCTGGTTATGATCAGGATTCCATCTTTTCCTCACCATTAAAACAGCAGCATAAGGAGAATGGGGGGGGCGGAAAACGAGGAGGAGCTGAAGTTTCATTTGATTTCATAGCGAGGCTCTGCTTTTAGACTTTCAGCGTCTGACAGGAAGTGGAGGAGGAGAAGTAGCATCCTCGTCGTCGTTGGGAATATCAACAGGCGCAAAGAACCACCCCTTTGGAAGCCTTGTGCACTGCTGGTGGGGATGTAAAGTGGTACAGCCACTATGGAGAACAGTGTGGAGGTTCCTCAAAAAATTAAAAATAGAAATACCATACGATCCACTAATTCCACTTTTGGGTATTTACCCAAAGAAAATAAAAAGACAAATTTGAAAAGATTTATGTATCCTCATGTTCATTACAGCATTAGTTACAATAGCCAAGATATGGAAACAACCTAAGTGCCCACTGATAGATGAATGGATAAAAGTATGGTATACATCCCCAAGGGAATATTACTCAACCAAAAAAAAGAATAAAATCTTGCCATTGGCAACATGGGCAGACCTAGAAAGTATTATGCTAAGTGAAATAAGCCAGACAGAGAAAGACCAATCCCATATGATTTCACTCACATACGGAATCTAGAACACAAAACAAACAGGTAATAACCAAAAAACCCAGAAACAGACTAATTGGCAGAGTACAAGCTGGTGGTTGGGGGCGATGGGCAAAATAAGTGAAGGGGATCAAGAGGTACAAATTTCCAGTTATAAAATAAATAAACCTCAGGGATAAAAAGTACAGCATAGGGAATAAAGTCAATACTATTGTAGTACCTTTGGGGACAGATGGCAACCACACTTCCTGCAGTGGGCATTTTGTAATGTATGTAAGTGTTGAATTAGCATGTGGTACACCTGAAACTAAGGCTTGTTTTTTTTCCACTTAACTGTTTTTTATTTTTCTACTTTACATTTAAATCATTCATGTGAACTTTTTTTTTGAAATCAAAAATTTTTTTATTCAAGTATATAATATTATATTGGTTTCAAGTATATAATGTGGTGATTCAACAGTTACCTACATTATTAAATGCTCATCCCAACTAGCGTAGTTACAATCTGTCAACACAGAAGGATGTTACAGAACCACTGAGCATTTCCTCTACGCTGTACCTTCATCCCCATGACTAACTTACATTAAGATTTTGTGCTTGTTGATCCCCTTCACCTATTTCGCCCACCCCAGCCCCTGCCCCGTGGTAACCACTAGTCACTTCTCAGTGTCTGTGGTTCTACTGCTGTTTTGTTCACTGGGTTCGTTTTGCTGAAACTAGTATTGCATATGAACTGTAAAAAAAAGCCACCTTGCCCTCATCAGAATGTGCCCTTGGACGCAGCTGGTATGTGTCCTTTCATGCACTCCACTCCTGGATGGGCACCTTCCATGACGGTTCTGAGCTCCTGTAACTGTAGCTGCTCCGTGTGCGGTGGCAGCCTTCTTCCTCCAGGTCGAATACTGTACAGCTTTCTCCTGTCTGGTTATCCAAGTAGGAATTCTGTGCGCATCACATTCCCATACTCCCTGTCCTGTCTTCCTGGCTCTTTACTCATGATGCAGGCAGATAGTTACCGGCCAGAGTTGTCTTGTGCCCCGGTATTATGTGGTGCACCCTTGATTGGCCACTTGGTGGCGCCAAAAGGTTCTCTCTCCTCCCTGCCTGTGACCTTACATGGGTGTGTTCGTTTTTGAGTAACCCAGATGCACAAAGCCAGGGGAAGGGGAATGTCAAGACCTAAAGGGCCACCGACCCTCGCCCTGGAGGGCCATTTGAAAATACCACTCGAATCAGATGAAGGAAGGCTGGGATTTGAAAAAGAATTGGTTATCATACTGTGCACTGTCTTGGGACAGGCAGGTGCACCCACCCGTGTGTAAGTCACCATCAGCAAAGGGCCCCCTGAAGAGGCTCTATTTCCAGGGTTGGTCACCTTTGCCCACTAGTAGTAAAGGGGCTTGTGCATTTCAGGACAGACTACAAAGGAACTCTGCAAAGCTATGAAAGTAAATCAAAACTACACTCAGATACTGTTTTCTGTCTCACTGATTGGCCAAGCTAAAATAAAAAAAATTGGGTACGTCAGCCAGGGCTGCTGGGATACTGAGAAACAAGTTCCCTCCTCCATTGCCAATGGAGGAACCAATGGAGGAACCACACCCACGGAAGGCAATTTGGCAAAGGCGAGCTAAACTGCAAATGCACATTCCATTTCTAGGAATTTACCCTAAAGGTATGTTCATACTTGTTAATGTCACATTGGAGCATGGTATAAGACTGGAAAAAAACATTAAAAAAATACCCGAAGTAGGAAAATTTTGAACATCCACATAAAACACATTAAAAATATCCAAAATAGGAAATACAAAATTATGAGCATTCACAGAACAGAATACTGTGCAGTAGAAAAAAGGGAGAAGTTTGGGGGAGCACCACCTGAGACCACTCCCAGTACCCCCCAACTGTTCACCGCTTGTGAGGCCCTCCAGCCATCAGTAATTGCTTGCTCTAGCTCCTCCCAGGTGACCATGGTGACGTCTTCTCCAGCAGGTATCAAACTCAGCTTCCGGCTCACTGTTTCCTGACGGTAACAGACACACGTGTGCATGTACAGGGAAGTGCACACACACCTTACTTAAACTAGGAGGCTTTAGGGACAGAACAGAGCCAGCGGGGTCAGGCGGGTCCTTCCACAGCCCCAACCCTGAGAAGTCACTGCTCGTCAAGTGCCAGTGAATCCTGGGAGGCGGGTTTCCTGTCCCATGTGGACTCCTGAGGGAGCATGGGCAGGAAATCCAGGGACTGTGCCCCAAGAAGCAGAGGACACACACCACCCTTCCCTAGAAGACACAGGCATCTGAGTGGGGGTCTGAACCAGCCCTAAGAGGAGGGGGCGAGGCTGTGGGCACATCCATCCCCTGCCCCCTTGAGGGCCCTTTCCCACACAGCTGGCTGCTATTACCATGCAATCCTCCTGGTCTCTGAGGAGCTTCTCTAGTTCATCAATACGTTGGAAGACTTTCTGGAAGAAATTCAGAGATGGGGGATCAAAGTGGCCTCTCTGGTGGCCCCTACACATGCAGGCACACGTGCACACATGTGGCTGCTATTACCATGTAATCCTCCTGGTCTCCGAGGAGCTTCTCTAGTTCATCAATCCGTTGGAAGGCTTTCTGGAAGAAATTCAGAGATGGAGGATCAGTGGCCTCTCTGGTGGCCCCTACACATGCAGGCACACGTGCACATACAGGTACGCAGACACAGATGCGTGCACACACACAGAAGGAAGGTATGTGGATCTCAGAGGAGCACAGGGTAGAGAGGCAGATAAGCTGGGCCCCCTGTTGATAAGAGGAAGGGAGGTGGGATGGGGTGGTACAGGGACAGCGTGCCAAGAGCAAATGCTAGTGCAGGGATGGGAACCTGCGGTCCTGGGATTCATTCCATGCTACCCTCTAACAAAAAGTTCCAGCACAGCAGAATGAGGGATACCTCGCCTCTGAAGGACAAAAATTGTGGGGTTCCTCTAGGGTCTCTGAATGCTTGTGTGGTTTATAGAGAAAGCACTATCCATTGGAAGGCTTTCTGGAAGAAATTCAGAGATGGAGGATCAAAGTGGCCTCTCTGGTGGCCCCTACACAAGCAGGCACACGTGCACACATGTGGCTGCTATTACCATGCAATCCTCCTGGTCTCCGAGGAGCTTCTCTAGTTCATCAATCCGTTGGAAGGCTTTCTGGAAGAAATTCAGAGATGGAGGATCAGTGGCCTCTCTGGTGGCCCCTACACAAGCAGGCACACGTGCACACATGTGGCTGCTATTACCATGCAATCCTCCTGGTCTCCGAGGAGCTTCTCTAGTTCATCAATCCGTTGGAAGGCTTTCTGGAAGAAATTCAGAGATGGAGGATCAAAGTGGCCTCTCTGGTGGCCCCTACACATGCAGGCACACGTGCACATACAGATATGAAGACACAGACGTGTGCACACACACAGAAGGAAGGCATGCGGATCTCAGAGGAGCACAGGGTAGAGAGAACCAAAGTAAATTATCAAAACTTAAGTCACTCCTTATAACTTCTGCAAACCTAAATCTAGAACCAAACAAGCCTTCAGTCTAAAAAACATCCTCCAACCAAAAAACACACATTACAAAGAAAAGTTTCCCACAGCAAAAATGAGTCCAGCTGGGGTCCCAAGGGCAAAGTGGGTCAGTGGGCAGAAGTCCCTTGAGGGGCTCGGCCGCCTCCTGCCTCCTGTGAGCTTTTCTTCCCCCGCCCCTCTCTCTCTGCTCGGTCGTTCCCCGTGCTTCTCCCAAATCGCCCTTCTTCCAATGCCAGTGGCCCAGGTGAGCGATGGGCCTGAGACAGGGGCTCTGCCTCGCGTCTCCTCCACGGACGGGCGGCGGGTCCTTCCTGTCCATTTGAAAATGCTTCTGCTGAAAGATGTACACGTCTCTCTCCAAGAAAACAAAGATCCAAGTAAAAGTGTTGCTGCCCGCTGCGGCTCCCCACTGTACCCCTTCGCTCCCTCCATCCCAGCCCCTCGCCTTGAACTCAGCTGTCTCTCAACACCCACCTTATTTTCTTATTCTTGTTTAAAGGAAATTTGATCAAAGACTATGCTGAGAAGTCTGCTCCCTGTGGCTTGGTTCGGGATCCTTGAGTGTCTGAGAAGTGGGGGGTGAGCCCCCTGTAAGCAGGGGGAGGAAAGGCACTATATGAAAGGGGTGACTCAGCTCCCTGAGATGGGGTCCTGCCTTACCTGGAGGCTCAACTCAGGGTGCTCCTGTGCCTTTTGCTGGTCTTTTAGGGTTTTCACATCTTTCATGACATCCTGGTGCAGCTCTACGGCCTGCAAGGTAGAGCACAGGCCTCATGGGACCAGGCCGCACTGAGGCCTGTCCACCCCCATCCCCGTGGCCTCCTTGCTCAGACCTCCTCTCCACCGTGGTTTTGGGGACTCTCAGGGCTCCGCTCCAACCGTGGGTAGAGGGCAGCCCCAGGGAGTGGCGGCCTGAGCAGTCCCCAGTGCTCACCTGGGTGGCGCTGACCACCTTGTGATCCTTCACAGCTTTCATTGACCCTGTGCGCATCCTCTCAGGCATCAGCAAGGCTGTCTCCTCCACTGGCAGTTCCCGGATGTCCAGGCTAGGCTGGCCAACCTGGGTGGTGATGTGCTGCACGTGGGTCACGATGCCCTGCACCTGGCTCTCCATGGTCTTGAGCTGCTTGCTGAGGTCCTGGACCTGTCCACCCAGGTCCGTCACCTGGTTCTCCAGCATCTGCTGCGTAGTCTTGCTCACGCTGCTGCTCCTTGGCTTCTCTTTGGGGTCAGCCTGATGCGGGACACTGGGTGCGGTCCCGGAGGACTCAAAGACACGGCTCTGCTCGGGCAACGGCGAGTGGAAATCGATCTGTGTGTCCTGCAGATTGAGGTTCTTGAGCATGGCCACGAGGAGTGTGTGCAGGGCCGTGAAGTTGACGGCACCCACCTCGGGGGTGCCGATGGAGAGGTCGACCAGCTCCCGGAGGGAGACCAAGCTGGGTGCCGCGGCCGGCGGCATGGTGCACCCTCTCAGGAGCGGTCCGTGAGCGCTACCAGCTGGCCGGCCACGTCCTGCTCACTGCCCGCCGTGTCTCTAAGGACTTTTGGAGCTCCTGCGAGGCACCGGGGCTCCCCTGCCCCAGCCGCCGGGGTACCCGTCAGCCCCCGTCTGGCCGACGGAAGGGAAATGCCTGGCCACAGGGTTTCCCACTCTTCACGGCCAGGAACCCGCGCCCGCCTACAGGGCGGCGTCCGGGCCCCACCGACCCTGCACCCGCAGCCCACCGCCGTCCGCTCTCCGAGCTCGAGCCCTGGGCTGCCTTCCCCTGCGTTGGTCGCAGCTTGCGGACGTTAGGACCCGCGGGGGCGCAGCTGTGCGCACCCGGCCCACGAGGGCTCCGCAGGGGACCCACGCGCCACCTAGAGGCCGCCCAGCAAAAACCAGCGCTTTGTGGGGCCACTGGAAGCCCCTCCCAAACTCCGAAGCGGGTGGAGAAGCCTTGGCCACCGGACCCCCCCCTTCAGTGACCTCCCCCCAAAGAAAGGCGCTGTGGGGCCGGGCCAAGTTATTTTTATCAGGACACGCCAGTGTAGCAAGATGGGTATGTCTCCTAACGTTCACCTAGGTTTCAGCCGTCCCTTTACCTAGAAAGCCCTGGATTCACTCAGCTTTAGGGGCATCATGGCAACATGCTTTGTGTGTTCTTAGCTGTTCTATCAGGCAGGGCATTGGGGATAGTGTCATATCATTTTGTTCTATCAGAAGAGAGGGTAACGCAAAAGCCTCATCACTAACCAAGAGGTGCCAATTAGCCACCACATGAGATCTTTCCTGTGCTGCCCTGGCCTAACTTACCTCAAAACAGACTCATCTGCTCGAGCCCAGCATCTCAGCTCATTACAAGGCACAATATATCATTTTGTTCTATCAGAAGAGAGGGTAACGCAAAAGCCTCATCACTAACCAAGAGGTGCCAATTAGCCACCACATGAGATCTTTCCTGTGCTGCCCTGGCCTAACTTACCTCAAAACAGACTCATCTGCTCGAGCCCAGCATCTCAGCTCATTACAAGGCACAATTAGACAGGACCAGATGGACTTGGTGCTCTCAACAACTGAGATGCCCACACCTGATTCTTCCAGAAATGCGTAAAATGTGTTCACATTCAGAAAAGCTAAAGAAAGCGTATGAACGCATCTGCACTATGTACTCCTGTTTTAATTAAATTTATAATTTTTAGTTTAGTCTAAGCTGGCAAAATTTAATTGAAACCCTTCATGTCTCACCCCCCACTCCTCTGCCCCGCAAAGAAAAGCAGTGTTCCCTGGGAAAGGAGTTAAGAGTGTACGCTCCACTGGGTGATGCCAAAGGGTCTTGTTCACCATTATATTCCCAGGGCCCAACATGCAGGCCTTCAGTTGGTAGCATCAAAAGAACAAAGCCTTTGTAGTCTTCTGTGCACCTGTGCTCTTACCCTATAAAACTTAAGGCCGTACCACACAGCTACAGCCTTGGGACGGAGCATCAGCTCTGCTGGAAGCTGCAGTGTGCAGGCTTCGCTGATTCCAAGTGCAGTGACTGTCCAGAACACTCCTCCTCCTCCTCCGCTAGCCGCAGCCAGGATCTTCGCTCCCCGAGTCTTCACACTCTCATTTCCGTCTCCCTGAGACTTGGTATCATGCCAGGCACATATGAGGACTCACTAAATGCCAGTGGAAAGGGCATATTCTAATATATTCTAATGCTACTCACAAGAAATATATTCCACTAAACGCTTTTGCTGAATGATTACATTTAAAATCCCTACTCTTAGAGACATAAGAAAGACAACATTAACCAGAGGATTAAATGGAATTTGGGGTTGAAAAGAACCTCAACTTTCAATTCCAAACCTCCCTTTCTATGATGACAAAGGCCCAGAAAACACTAACTAGTTAAATGCCTGACCTTACAAATAAGAACCAGGTCACCTGAGGAACAGTCCACGGCCCTTCTTCTACCACCATGCTGTTATAATTAAGCTCTTTGCTCAAAATTCTACTTGAACTGTTAACAGAAGGCAATTTATTTGTATGCTTGAAAAAGCTAATGTGCTCAATGTCTTGATTGTGCCTTGGGAACTTTTCCAGTCATTAGGAAAGGAATAAAAATGCCAAGGCAACTTCCCTGCAGAGAAATGCAATTGGACAAGTAAGTGAATTGCCCTTGATTACCTCAGGAACTAAGAGAGCCCATGTGCTATCCTATTCATTTCGTGGCGGACACTCCTCCTTCCATTAGCTGGTCCTGACTTAAGAGGTTTATCAGATTTGCAGCAGGGCCTACCTGACAACTATGGTATAAACTAGACTTGTGATTAAATATTGGGCAGAAAGGTCCAACAAGGACTTAAAATGTCAGTGTTTCAGAAGGGATGGACCCTGCAGAAGGGAACTCATTTCTAGGGTTTGACATCAGTCACAGACCTGGACCACCCTTTATTTTGTATCCACTGTCTTCTGCCCAGTCTGGACAGAAATCAGTTACCACGAAGGCAGAGAGAAGGTGGCTCTGCAATGCAGTGAAGAGACAAGCCAGACAACAAATTCTTTTATTTCCAATTTAAGAGCAATGCAGATACCCAGAGTTAGGATGTTATTTCTCTAATCTGCCATTCTTGCCAGGAGTTAACACCACAAATGTTTTGTTCAACAGCTGTAGGCACAACAGTTTCTCAAAGAAAAATAAGATTCTCTATAAAAGACTTACATGAAGTTGACTGGGAAGAGGCATAGAAACAGTGCCAGGGATCTCAGCTTCCCAAACCATGTTCAACATTAACACATACATTTCCCTGCGGTTGAAACAACCGAATAAACATTCTAGAGCTAAGACTTTACCTTCCTCTAATGCTTTTTCAATATCAACAAGATTTGCAGATTATTTTCAGGAAGACGCCTGTAACTTTTGCTTAAGGAACAGGATAAGAGCAGATAATTTAAGGCCATTCATCCATTAGCTCCGTCTTCCTGTTGACCACCTTAATATGTCTCCTACCTACCAAACTTGGCAAGGGAGACGATCAGACTATTTCCAGTGCTCCTTTGAAGGAAACACTGTGTACATAATTGACGGCACTGCTTTTCTCACGTTTTCCTTAGGAGTTCCAGGTCAAGGCGACCGTGGAAGTTAGTCGTCTACAGTGATGTTTCGGAAAAGGTACGCCATGGACTCCCCATTGTGGATTCTCCGTATTGCTTCTGAAAGAATCAGACTGATATCCACAGTCTTTATCTTGGGACACTGCAGCTTCTGCACCTCATGAGGGACAGTATTCGTCACCACCACCTAGTCATGGCAGCAATGAAAAACAAACATTGTTACTGCTGTGTGCCCCAACATGATCCCTTAGTACGTTTATCCAACATTTTAGTACCATTGCCCAAGTTCCAAACTGTAAAACCTTACTCCACTGAGTATAGTTTTTACAAACTAAACCTAACCAACTTTATCCAAGGGAAAGGTCACATGGTCCAAAATGTAAGATTATGAAAGTCACAGTCTATTTATGCAGAAAGGATAGGGTGAGTCCTACACGAGACTTTCATGTTATCGGAGAATTCAAGTCTTGAGAAACATGCTACTAGAGTACCAAATTATACTGAGATACAATCACGTGGAAGTACATAAAGCCAATCTTTAGGAAAATGGACATACATTCCTAACTATCCATGTGCCCCGACAAATAACCAACAGTATTTCACAGGTCCTGTAGAGAGGGATTACACAGTATTGGCTGAGTCATTTTACTATCCACAGAAAAGAGAGCAGCAGATCTTGACTCAAGCTAGGAGTACAAGCCCTTTAAGAGCAGACAGACCTCATCAATGGAGGACTCCTCAATCAGACGGGGGGCCTCTGCAGACAGGATGCCGTGAGTGGCCATAACATAGATTTTATAAGCTCCTCTCTCTTTCAGAATCTCCGCAGCAGCGACAAAACTTTCCACATCATCAATGATGTCATCCTGAGAAGAGACCAGAGTCAGATTTAGGAGCTACTCTCCATTTCCATCTACGGACGTACACCTCTCTACTCTTTTCTGCCCTTCAAGTTTCAGAGGATGTCCAGCTGAAACTCAGAGCTCTCTGCCTGGGTCAGAGACTGAATACCCAGCAAGGGCAACAGAACTGTGCGCTGCCCGGCTGCCGGTGGGAAGAGCAGCCAACCTACAGTCGTATGACATTTACCCTGAGAGTCCAGGACGGCCAAGACTCTCCCCACGTCAAACTGCTGATTAATCCTACATAGTCTGATTAATTCATTTACTTTTTTCCAAGAGAAAGTTAAATGAGAGGAACATAAAGTGAGCCACTGTACAAGAATGATCCTCTGGCCCAGCAAAGGCAGTTAGAGCTGGGAGCAAATATATCATGTAAAAGTACGAATAAGACACTTGTTCTCATTTGTTAAAATGGAACAGCTCATCGTTAGTTCACCTCATTGCCCAAAAGCTTAAGCTTGAGTAGGTCAGCTGGTCTGACAGAACCTAGCCCCCTAAAGACAAAGTTTATTTATGGGGTTGAATTTTCTTACGGGAGTTACCTATCGGTTTTATTTGTTTGTCTATATAAAATTTCATACTTGTCCTAAGAGAGTTTGCATAAGGACAGACAGATCTGTTTAAATCTATCCTCATTAATGGAAATACAGTCCAGAGGCGGACAACCTACTAAGAGCCAGCAGGGCCATCTCTGTACACGAAGGACGACACACGACCATACCACTATGATTGCGATACGTCCTCCAACATCTCCGACTACAGTTATCGGTGGTTTCTCTTTGGCCATCATCACTAGCAAAACAGAACAGATGACAGTGCCCCAGTTAGTCGTGCATCGCTAAGTGACTGTGATCACAACCTCATTCCCTGGAAGGAGTGGCGAAAACATCGCAGAAAAAACAAAACAAAACTCAACGTACCTGAGAAAGACTGTCTAGAGCAGTGCAGTCCAACAGAAACAGGGGAGCCACGTGTAATTTTACAGTTTATAGTAGTCACGTTAATAAGTAAAAATAGGTGAAATTAATATATTTTATTTTACCCAGTATATCCAAAATAGGACCATTTCAATATGTAATCAATATACAAATTTGTTAAGAGATGCTTTACATTTTTTTCATACCAAGTCTTTGATACGTGGTATGCATTTTACACACACATGTAGCACTTCTCAGTTAAGATTAGCCCTGTTTCAAGAACTCAGTAGCCACACGTGGCTAATAGCCACCAGTCTTTAGAAAGCGCAGGTCTGAAAACAGTAGCAGGATGAGGAAATCTCACTGACAAAGAGCAGCAGCATTACAATGCCAATGAAAACAGAAATACCCGGCTTGCTGAGATGAGGAAGAAATGTAGAATAAATGACACTGCAGATAAGCAAACAGGGAAAGGCTACCAAATAAAGAGCTGGTTTTACTTTAGTTTCTTCCAATGTGGCCTTATTTGGACAATGCAACCTTATTATATACACTACTGAAATAGTTTCCTGAAAATTACAAGCTTGAAGACAACAACCATGAGCCGTTTCCTGATTTAATGTCCTTATAGTAGAGGCTTATCTCATTACAAAATTTGTATCTGGAAAAGGGCCATCACTGTACAAACCAAAGTAGAGGATAGAGAAGTAAGGATTTACCCTCAAAATGAGGGTTAGTAAACAGAGGCAGGGCAGTCAGGGGGGACACCAGAGTATTTCAGAAGAACAGGCTAAGTATTCTTTTTTTTTTGTATCATTAATCTATAATTACATGAGGAACATTATGTTTATTAGGCTCCCCCATCACCAAGTCCCCCCCACATACCCCATTACAGTCACTGTCCATCAGCGTAGTAAGATGCTATAGAATCACTACTTGTCTTCTGTGTGTTGTACAGCCCTCCCCGTGTCCCCAATCCCCATATTATGTCTGCTAATAGTAATACCCCCACTTTTTTTCCCCTTATCCCTCCCGTCCCACCCAACCTCCCCAGTCCCTTTCCCTTGGTAACTGTTAGTCCATTCTTGGGTTCTGTGAGTCTGCTGCTGTTTTGTTTCTTCAGTTTTTTTCTTTGTTCTTACACTCCACATATGAGTGAAATCATTTGATACTTGTTTTTTTCCATCTGGCTTATTTCACTGAGCATAATACCCTCTAGCTCCATCCATGTTGTTGCAAATGGTAGGATTTGTTTTCTTCTTATGGCTGAATAGTATTCCATTGTGTATATTAACACCTCTTCTTTATCCATTCGTCTACTGATGGACACTTAGGCTGCTTCCATTTCTTGGCTATTGTAAATGGTGCTGTGATAAACATAGGGGTGCATATGTCGTTTTGAAACTGGGCTCCTGCATTTTTAGGGTAAAATAGTAGGAGTGGAATTCCTGGGTCAAATGGTATTTCTATTTTGAGCTTTTTGAGGAACCTCTACACTGCTTTCCACAGTGGTTGAACTAATTTACATTCCCCCAGCAGTGTAGGAGGGTTCCCCTTTCTCCACAACCTCGCCAACATTTGTTCTTTTTTGTCTTTTGGATGGTGGCCATCCTGACTGGTGTGAGGTGATAGCTCATTGTGGTTTTAATTTGCATTTCTCTGATGATTAGCGATGTGGAGCATCTTTTCATGTGTCTGTTGGCCATCTGAATTTCTTCTTTGGAGAAGTGTCTGTTCAGCTCCTGTGGCCATTTTCTAATTGGATTGTTTGCTTTTTGTTTGTTGAGGTGTGTGAGCTCTTTATATATTTTGGATGTTAACCCCTTATCAGATATGTCATTTATGAATATATTCTCCCATACTGTAGGATGCCTTTTTGTTCTATTGATGATGTCCTTTGCTGTACAGAAGCTTTTCAGCTTGATATAGTCCCACTTGTTCATTTTTGCTTTTGTTTCCCTTGCCCAGGGAGACATGTTCATGAAGAAGTTGCTCATGTTTATGCCCAAGAGATTTTTGCCTATGTTTTTTTCTAACAATTTTATGGCTTCATGACTTACATTCAGGTCTTTGATCCGTTTTGAGTTTACTTTTGTGTATAGGGTTAGACAATAATCCAGTTTCATTCTCTTACATGTAGCTGTCCAGTTTTGCCAACACCAGCTGTTGAAGAGGCTGTCATTTCCCCATTGTATGTCCATGGCTCCTTTATTGTCTATTAATTGACCATATATGTTTGGGTTAATATCTGGACTCTCTATTCTGTTCCACTGGTTTGTGGGTCTGTTCTTGTGCCAGTACCAAATTGTCTTGATTACTGTGGCTTGGTAGTAGAGCTTTAAGTTGGGAAGCGAGATCCCCCCTGCTTTATTCTTCCTTCTCAGGATTGCTTTGGCCATTTGGGGTCTTTTCTGGTTCCATATGAATTTTAGAACTATTTGCTACAGTTCGTTGAAGAATGCTATTGGTATTTTGATAGGAATTGCATTGAATCTGTAGATTGCTTTAGGCAGGATGGCCATTTTGACAATATTAATTCTTCCTAGCCAAGAGCATGGGATGAGTTTCCATTTGTTAGTGTCCTCTTTAATTTCTCTTAAGAGTGTCTTGTAGTTTTCAGGGTATAGGTCTCCTTGGTTAGGTTTATTCCTAGGTATTTTATTCTTTTTAAAGCAACTGTGAATGGAATTGTTTTCCTGATTTCTCTTTCTGCTAGTTCATCATTAGTGTATAGGAAAGCAACAGATTTCTGTGTATTAATTTTGTATCCTGCAACTTTGCTGAATTCAGATATTAGTTCTAGTAGTTTGGGAGTGGAGTCTTTAGGGTTTTTTATGTAGTATTCTACTTTTTGGTAAAGCCTTTTATTATTCTGAAATATTCACTAAACCAGTATTAGGAAAGGGGAAAGAGAATAAAATTCAGAGTGATTATATAGTTTAAGTTATCAGCAAACACTCCATTCTAGCTGATTCTTATTGATAGGCACTGTAAGCCTCCAAGAACAGATGTTCCTTTCTGTGTACTAGCAAATAAGCTACGTTGAAATTCAGCACTATTTTACTGGCAAATTTCAAAAGACATTTCATGATTTCCCATCCCAGAAACAAGGGCAATTTCTTAAATTTGGGTAGTCAAAAAAGGTTCTGCGTATAGGTATCACCTAAAAGGTGGTGATAAATATCACCAACATTAGGAAAAGCTTCCTCAAGTTCTGTCAAATTAAATTCCTAAAATTAAACCATGTGGGGTAGGTGGTTATGTTGACCTAACCACTTCTTAAAGAGATGTGGTCTCCTTTCTTGACCATTTTTCTTTGTAAAAAAAAGTAGAAGACTACAAGCCAGTGTCCCTCAGCAAAGCTCAATAGAAATTCAGTTCTACTTTGATGCAGAAAACATGTCAGAGTACTGCTTATTTTTCTATAACCCTACCTCTCCCAAAAACCTTCTGTCAGTTTGAAATGAAAGAGGCATGGCTAGATAAGGCTTAAAAAGGCTTTTAAAAAGCAAGCCTTTTTTGAAGATGTGGTACATACACATAATGGAATATTATTCAGCCATAAAAAGAAATCTTACCATTTGCAATAACATGGATGGATCTGGAGGGTATTATGCTCAGTGACATAAGCCAGGCGGAGAAAGACAAGTACCAAATGACTTCACTCATTTGTGGTGTACAACAACAAAGCAAAACTGAAGGAACAAAACAGCAACAGACTCACAAACACTGAGAAGGGACTAGTGGTCACCAAAGGGGAGGGGTTGGGGAGGGTGGGTGGCAAGGAGGGGATTAAGGAGCACTGTGATTTGCAATCACAAGATAGGGGGATCACCGGGAAGGCAGTACAGGATAGGAAGACAAGTAGTGACTCTACAGCACCTTACTACACTGATAGACAGTGACCACAACAGAGGGGGTGAAGACTTGATAATATGGGTGAATGTTGAAACCACAGCGTTGTTTATGTGAAACCATCAGACGATTGTGTATCAATGATAGTTTAATTAAAAAAAGTAAAAAAAAGAAAGCCTTTCTTCCAGTGAGCTCATTCCCTGCTCTTAACTGGCTTTAGGATCTGGGTAAAAACCAAACACTTGGAGTTCTGTTTGGGTGGCTAAAGAGACAAACTTCATTACAGACTCAAGTCGTGAAGATTACGAGTAGCACCTCACAGGCCAAAAGACTGTCCCGGTTTTTCTAATAGCCTTCCCAGAAAATAAAACACCAAAAACTCAAAATTTTCAGTAAAAGTAATATGCGTACTGAAGGTCAAGAATAGAGGTGCTAAAACTATCCTTGGTTAAGATTCTACTCCTTCTCCATTATGTCAAGCAAAACCCAATGTGTTTAAGATTAAAGTGGATTGTGCATCATTACTCGTGGCCAGAGATCACTGTCAAGACTACATCAACCGACTTCTGGCCAGAATCACCTTCTTCCAGTAATTGGCCAGAATGACCAACACAAAGGGAAAGAGGACAGGCACCCGCTATATGTTCTCTGGACCTTTTAGAAAACATGGGGTTGTTCGTTTGGCCGCATACATGCAAATCTACAAGAAAGGTGATGCAGCGGACATGAAGGGATGGGCATTGCTCAAAAAGGACTGCCCCACAAATGTCACCTCCACCAAGCTCGAAGAGTGTACGATGTTACCCAGCAGGCTGCTGGCTTGTATTGTTTAAACAAACAAGTAAAGGGCAAGATTCTTGCAAAGAGAATTAATGTACGTATTGAGCATGTTAAGTACTTTTGACAGCCAATCCGGAAGCCCGTGAAGGAAAATGATCAGAAACAGGGAAGCCAGAGTGAAAGGTACATGAGCTCAACTGAAGGGCCAGCCTGCTGCACCCAGAGAAGCAGGCTTTCGGAGAACAAATGGAACCCATTCCCTGTGAGTTCATGGCTTGATAGGTATTAAAAAAATAAAAAGACTTCTGGATTCTAAAAATGTTTCTCTTAAATTGAGTGAAGTGTGGGCTCCCTTCCCCAAAGAAATACTTAAAGCAAAACAAAACAAAAAAACCTGTATCAACTTACTGCAGTAAAAGTATCAATTTATCAAATGATTTCTAGTGTTTTTATGAAGCAAGTAGGAAATCGTCTTTTGCTTTTAAATTTAGCATTTCCAAGTAAAATAATGCTGCATTTATATCCCTAAGAGTTTACATACACACACACACACACACACACACACTCACTCTCACACTCTCTCTCTCTCTCTCCACCCCCCCCCCGGAGTCAACCACTAACCAAACCCCCCTCTCCTAAAGTAAAGGGCGAAAGAAGGACTAAGGGAAATCACTGATCCCTGACCCACTCTGATTGTGGTCTATTTCTAGGTCAGTGGAATGCTGCATTTTTATCAACAGACTGACATTAAAAAGAAATATAAGAAATAAAGATCTCCAGGAGAACTATAAATTATTTTCTAGCTCCTCTTATCTATATGCAAAAAAATTAAGACTTACAATTTAATAGATGCTTAAGAGGAGCTAATACCTGTTATCCAAATTCTTAATCTGAAAACCACTGTGGCAACCACGGAGCAGTGTTCAGGAGACCCACTGGCATACATGTAATCCTTGCCGCTTCATTAGGGTATGCCCTTGCCACAAGGCAATTCTACCTTGAAAAACACAAACACTTATGCAACTTCACTTAAAATAAATTACTCTAAAACAGGGTTTCTCAACCTTGGCACTATCAGTATTTTGGGCTGGATAATTATTTATTACATTGGAAGGATGTTCAACAACATCTCTGGCCTCTACTCATAAGAGGCCAGTAACACCCTACTCTCCCCGGGCCCAGGTTGAGACAACCAGAAATGTCTCAACATTGCAAATATTCTCTGGGGGACAACGCCGCCTTAGGCTGAGAACTATTGCTGTTTTAAAATGAGTTCTAAGATAAAATAGTTCACCTTTCTAAAAAATACAAAGACTGCAAGGGTGAATATTTGCTTTCATTTGGCCTTGCCCTAACATTCTAATATCTTCATCTTCATTACTATTTTTAAACTTTTTATATATATTTTTTATTGAAGTATAGTTGACATACAGTAGTATATTGGTTTCAAGTACACATGTGATTCAATAGTAATCTGTATTAAATGTTCACCAACTAACGTGGTTCCTGTCAACATAGAAAGCTGTTACAGAACTACTGACCATATTCTCTATGCTCTACTTTCAGCCCAGTGACTAGTATTAAGATTTTGTGCCTTTTTATCTCCTTCATCTATTTCAACCTCCACTCCAACCCCTCCCCTATGGTAACCACCAGTCACTACTCAATGTCTACAAGTCTATTATGTTTTATTTGTTTATTTTAGATTCCACATTTAAGTGGAATCATATGGTACTTGTCTTTCTCCACCTGTTTTATTATACTTAGCACAATACTCTCTAGCTTCATCCACGTTGTTGCAAATAGCAGGATTCATTTCTTTTTCATGGCTGAATAGTATTCCACTGCATATATTCACCTCCTCTTCTTTATCCATCCATCTACTGATAGGCCCTTTGGTCGCATTCCTATCTTGGCTATTGTAAATAATGCAGCAATAAGCACATCTTTTCAAGTCAGAGGTTTTGTTTTCTTTGGGTAAATTCCTAGGAGTGGAATTACTGGGTCATATGGTCATTTCTACTTTTAGTTTTTGGAAGAACCTCCATATTGCTTTCCATAGCCTGCTGTACCAATTTATATTCCCACCAACAGTGTAGAAAGTTCACTGCTATTGAATAAACTCTAAAACACACTGAAAGCATAACTGATAAAGCATATTTAATTTGGAAGGCACAATTACACATACAAGAAATGACTTTTCTCAGAATTCTCTTGGTTAAATCTATAAAAGGGAATCAGAAAATGATCCTATGGCATGGTAAAAGCTGTAAACACCCCAACATATCTATGAAGGAATATGTCACTTTACAACCTTTCCACCACACATAAGATAGCAATGGGAAAACACTGTTACAATCATAAGTAAAAAAGCAACTTTCTCAGACTAGAGAATCTCACTATGCAAAATATTGTGATAATTGGCACTATCTATCAAAATAACCTCTGGCCAAACAATTTTATTTATTGGTCTTTATTGTATAAATACATTTAGTCAATTATGAAAGAACCTGAGTCAGCCTTAGTCACAGGCAGTGAGTGTGGTGACTGAGCCCACTTTAAAGCCCAAACCTTGGTTTCTAAATACCACTTTCCATTAAAGGAACTGGGGCTCATTGGAGAAAGGGCTGCCTTCAGGGCTGAGAAAGTACAAGATGAACAAGAAACCTCTAGTTGTTATCAGAACATAAGGAAGTATCAAAAAATGACAGGAACATGTCAAAAAAACACAGGAAGTAGCTTGAAGGAGTTCTCTCTGGCAAGGCTGAGATAATCTGAGCATTAAAGTAAATAGTACTAATGGATTAAAACACACTGAATAAGGTAAGATATTATGAGCCCATACTGATATAAATGAATGAACAGGGAAGGAAGGGAATTAGAAAAAACAGTTGACAATAATCATAGTAATAATACTTGATTCAACCTAATATAAGGAAACAAACAAGCCCCATTTACAGGACAATATACAAAATAACTGGCCTATACTCTTCAAAAGCATCAAGGTCATAAGAGAAAAAGAGGAGCCATTCCAGATTAAATGAGACTAAAGAGAAACAGAAACTGAGGGCAAAGTGTGATCTTACACTGGGTCCTGGGCCAGAAAAATACTATTTTCTTTTGCTCTAAAGGACAGTGGGTGGGACAACTGGTAAAATTTGAGTAAGGTATGCAGATCAGATAAAAATATTGTAACAATGTTAGTTTCCTGAGTCTGATAATTACACTGTGATTATGTAAGAGTCCCTGTTTTTATGAAATATATACTGAAGTATTTTGGAATAAAGGGGCATTACATCTGTAACTCACTCTCAAATGGTTCAGAAAAATATTATACATACACAATATAAATATTAAAGTTGGGGACTCAAGAGCAAAGAGTAGAGAGGAATTCTCTATTATTCTTTCAAGCTTCTGTAAGTCTACAGTTCAAACTAGAAAGCTCAAAAAACAAAGAAGTATGGATTCTGGAGCCAGCTGCTTCATTCCAGACCCTGGCTCCCCCAGCTTCTACCTGGGGTGTCTGTCTCCTCACTGGCAGAATGAGGCATTACAAAAGTACCTCACTGTAGTTGTGCAAGGACCCAATGTGAAGGTCTACCAGAAGACTTAGAACAGCTCTGGGCACATAATAATGACTCAACAGATGTTTATTATTATTGGAACTTTGTTTTCACAGCCAACGACTAGAAAAAGCCTACCTGTCCATCAACAGGAGACTGATTAAATAAATCATGACATATCCACAAAGCAGAATACTACAAAACTATAAAAGATGGAGAAATTTGTATGGGCTGATAGGGAAAAGCTAAAGAAAGAAAAAAGCCAGAGCAGAACAATGTGTGTAATATACTAGTTTGTATGAAAATGAGAGAAAAATAAATGCATATTTACTTGTATGTGCATAAAGCCTCTAAATGGATCTATCTGAAAACAATCACATTGAAGATCAGAGTAGCAGCGGGAAGAAAAATTTGTGGGGAGACTAGCAGGTGAGTGGGTGGGAATGTTTTTCACTGTAAAGGATTTTATATACTTTTTGAATTTTGAAATATGTGAATGTATTGTCTATTCAGGAACTTTAATCATGGAATACTAAAAAAAAATTAAATACTATGATACCAAAAATTTTTTAAAGAGTGTATTACTTCTTTCTCTTACAGAAAAACTCCCAAGTTGAAAACAAAGCAATGGAAATTTTTTAGGATGAAAAAAAATTAGAATGTTTACACCTTAGACACAGGAGCCTGTCTGAAATAACTTGTCTGAGGTGAAACCATTCTAATATTTTCCCACTCTGTTAATTTCTGTATGTTTCTCAGCATGGCAAATAGATACAGATTTTAAAAAGAGATAATCTCCTCCCTCTAAAAAGCATAATAAATCTTCCAGTACAGAAAGCTGGTTATCACCCCTCAGAAGTCCATGGAAATAAACATGCTCTGCACAGCTGGATTACTAACAAGTTAGTCAGCTATCAGGTCAAAGGGCTGTATTATTAAAAATGAGTGCTACAAGTTACCTGGTCACCAAAGCCTGGTATTAATGATCATGACTTTCAATCATTACCAAATAGAAAAGCTTAAGATTTCACACCACCACACATAAAAACTTTTACTAAAGCTAAATTATTTCACACTGTATGAGTTCTAAGTGCTATCCAAATTAACTCAATTATCCTTACATATTCTGTTAATGTGTGTAATCAATCTCCTCTTACAAAAGGGGAAATCAAGGCAATACCATTTATTTATTTAAAAATACCAAGACAACATACAGCCACATAGGTATTAACTCCTAGGAATTCATAATATTCCAAACTTTCTTCAATTTACAAATAAAAACATAGAGCTAATCTTACATGGCAACTCCAGACCCGGGTGGACAGTAGCATTTTTGACCATTGGAGGAGAATGCCGCCCATCATCCATGTCCAGCTCTGTACACTGAGCTTCCCCATGGATTACAGCTAAACCCAGTCGGAGTCTCTCAGCATATGACTGGGCCCTAAGAAAAAGACAAAGGGAAATGGTGAAATTCATGGGAAGAAAATTCAAACATCACTATTTCATCATTTTATTAATGATAAAATGAAAATATCATTCAACCTTTCAGGGACACACAAAGGAATTATTTATACAAATCAGAATGTGGGGCCCAGGCCAGAATGCAAATGCCTCAAGAGGCACATGAGTTGAGATATGGGCTAGTAACTAATTCCAAACAATTTTGGCTCTACCTTTTGTCCAAAATTCTAATTCTCCATCTTCAGAAGAAAGAACTTAGTTCAAAAAGGTGTCTTAAAAACCAGTGTCTGAAAAATGTTCACAGCCCTTCTGCTTTTCTTTTCCTAAGAACCTGCAGGGAGAACTTCCTTTTCTCCCAGAGGAAAACTGAGTAACTCAGAGACCCATTAGTGTCGTTTGAAGACTAAAAATAAAGCTGTGGTGTGGGATATAACAATGCCTTGGGGGAAAGCTCAAGCCAGTGAGCTTTTACAAGCTGTACTATGACAGACCCTGAAGTCCAAAACAACTCATTTTGACCTCAGAAGCACCCAAAAGGGATTTTTATCAATGTCTGACTCATTTACCTTTTTGCAGCATCAGGAGACTTAGCTACAATGACTGCATTTCTGTAATTTGGAATCTAAATTTGGAGGAAAAATAAGAAAATACTGAAAAGTAATAAAAAAATAACACCTGGATGCTGGTATTACATTTTTCCCTCTTACAACAATGACCCATATTAGCAGTCAAATATGCTAGAATCTCACCCACACATTCAAAAAATCTTAACTCTTATCAATTAACATCACTGCAAAAGAACTACTGTATCAGGAAGATAAAAAATAATTCTTAAAATCTTCACTTTAGAAAACATAAGCAAATTGTTAAAGACACTTAGAAGAAAATCCATTTTTAATGTCTTAAAAAAATATGATCCTCCACACCGAGATTCTGACCCTATCGGGCTGCCTCAGGCATTAAGACTTAGAGGAAAGATCATTTGATGTGCCTTTCATTACTGAAATCTGATAACAGAGAAAAACTACATAGGGTCTCTTTTGAGGAAAATGGGGTTTTGGCTGATGGCTCCTCACTTCTTCCTGGATATACTGAAGCAGGAAAGGTGAGGCTCTAAGGTTGTCCACGGGAAAGCTGAAAAAGCCTTGTATTTCCTTTTGATGAAGATCCATAGTGATAATGTGAGTTAAACCTGAAATTTTAAAACAAAAAATTACAAAGTTCACCCCTACAAGTTAATGGCTACACTGGACACAAACTAGACGCCCAACTCCTGTTTCCTAACGGAAGACTGGAGGCGTGGGGCAGGTTCTGTGAACAAGCACATTAGCTACAGGCTTTATCTGTAACCTCAACAAGACTTGACCAACTAATGTAAAAGAGCCTGTAACCTTCCACATGGACAAAGAGCTAGAGCTGAAAAAGTGTTCTCCTCTACTGTAATTTTTAGCTTGGTCCTGAAAACTGAGAAAAGAAAAACTAGGCAGAAGCAAAAACATGAATATGAAATTAATAAATACTGAAGAAATAATAGATGTAAAAAAATATGAAGGCCTTGACTAAAGAATCTAGAAAGAAACGTGAAAAGCCTGCAGCTGAAGCAGAAGGAATAAGAAAGGTAAGTAATAAACAGATTAAGAGAAATTCATTTAACACAAAGATATTGAAGAGTTTGGGTTAATTTCTCTATGTCATAACAGAATGGTCAAGAAGTATTCCTTTAGAAATACAATGAAGAAATAAGCTTGACAGTGTCAAACCAAAAAAGATACATATACAAATACATGACAAATGGCCAAAGGTTACTGCAAAACTTCCAGAGCAAAGAACCAGTATTACTTGTTTCTTCTAGACCTTAAGCTCAAATTACACATCTAGAGAGAATGGAATTCAAATATATTTTTGAGGACTCAAATATATAACTAGAGTTGTAAATAAACATCAGAAAAAATAAAATCCCAATAATTTAAAGTATTATTGCAACTGATTCACTGGCCTAGAAAGTACATCATCGCTACAAAAACACACATAAGTAATGAAAATGAGCTGCTATAAAGACCATCAGAGAGAAAAAAAAAAGTATACAAGCTGGAGAAATGAAAAAAAAAATCCAGTTTTAGTGTTAGATACATAAGAATTTAGCTAACACCTGAATCTAGACCTTAAGCTCAAAGGATCACACATGCATGCCAGGATCGCCAGCCAAACTTCTAATGGTAATGGTAAGATGAAATGGAGAAGGACAGATGGCGAACAAGCCCCAGATCATGGGAGACTAGAAAACACGGAAGAGGACAACGTCACTCCAGAGTAGACAGAGAAAAGAAAAAGAATTTGTACCAAAGCCCACCTATTCCTAATCAGAACTATGAAACAAGAAGAAAGTAATCAATGAACAACACTTAAAGAAAATAGGTCTCAATAAGTTACGTGAGGTATGGGACTCATCTCAAACAGGGAAGAGCCCTAGATGACAGCGCTGGAACCCCAGGGTCTCTGTCCACACCTACCTGCTTTTGCCAGCATAGACGCTAGGAGCTTGCACACAATGGAGCCCCTCTTCCTCATCTTGCTTTGCTTGCTGTAAGGAAAATAAGGGATGACTCCAATAATATTCCTGGCGCAGGCAGTCTTCAGCGCATAAGCCATGATCAGTAACTCCATCACAGCTGTATTCACATCTCTGAAACAGTTCAAATTTGTATTTCTGGATTAATTTCATTTATTAACCCCTAAAAAAAGATCTCAACATCAGCAACTTAACATGGGCTGCCAAGATGGGTGCTACAGGTATTTTATCATTACAATAGCTTATGATGGCATCTTGTGAAGACAGGGGAAAGCTTCTTAAGTCTTCTTTTTAGCTGTATAAGCTCATTTTCTTCTGTGGTTACTGAAATCCACAGCACAGTCCTCCACTCTCATCTTTGCCTGGATCTTCTGTCAGTCACTGGGGTGGCATGTGAACTGAAGCAGGTGTCAACTGCTGGAGACCAGAGTTAACCAACACCTGCTGGCACCATCCCACAGATTTTTAGACTCAGGCCAGACTGCTAGAACCTTATTTTCCTGTGAATGCCAAGGGAAAGCCACTGCCCTTATTTAGCTGCCATTACCAGAAAGGATTTGGTCCCTTTTTTCTTTTGGGGGCAGAGGGTAGGATGGGGAGGTGTTGGAACTTGTTTTCAAAAAATCTATCCCTTCTTCCCTCGAGATAAACAGATTCCTAACAAAGATTACCACACAAAGAATGAAATATGAATCTCAAAGATATTCAAAGGAAAGGCTACTTCAGTTTTAATGAATGTAGACTGCTACTCTGTCAAGGCTAATCAAGCCTAAGGATGGCTCTGCCCTTTTTTTTTTTTTAAGGCATCATTGATAGACACTTTTAAGAAGGTTTCACAAGAAAAGCAATGTGGTTATTACATTCACCCTTATTATGGAGTCACTGTCCATCAGTGTAGTAAGATGCCACAGAGTCCCTATTTGTCTTCTCTGAGCTACACTGTCTTCCCCGTGACCCTACACACACCATGTGCACCGATCATGATACCCCAAAATCCCCTTCTGCCCCCCAAACCCCTCCTCCCCTTTGGTAACTACTAGCCCCTTCTTGGAGTCTGTGAGTCTGCTGCTATTTTGTTCCTTCAGTTTTGCTTCGTTGTTATACTCCACAAATGAGGGAAACCATTTGGTATTTGTCTTTCTCCGCCTGACTTATTTCACTGAGCATAATACCCTCTAGCTCCATCCATGTTGTTGTAAATAGTAGGATCTGTTTCTTTCTTATGGCTGAATAGTATTCCACTGTGTTTATGTACCACATCTTCTCTATCCGTTCATCTACTGAGGGACAGACACTTAGGTTGCTTCCATTTCTTGGCTATTGTAAATAGTGCTGCGATAAACATAGGGGTGCATGTCTTTTTGAATCTGAGGAGTTGTTTTCTTTGGGTGAATTCCTAGGATTAGAATTTCCAGGTCAAATGATATTTCTATTTTTAGTTTTTTGAGGAACCTCCATATTGCTTTACACAATGGTTGAATTAGTTTACATTCCCACCAGCAGTGCAGGTTTCTCCTTTCTCTGCATCCTTACCAGCATTTGCTGTTCCTACTCTTTTCTATGGTGGCCATCCTAACTGGTATGAGATGATATCTCATTGTGGTTTTAATTTGCATTTCCCTGATAATTAGTGATGTGGGGCATCTATTTCTTCTTTGGAGAAGTGTCTGTTTATATCCTCCACCTATTTTTTAAAGGGTTATTTGCTTTTTGGGTGTTGAGGTCTGTAAGTTCTTTATATATTTTGGATGTTAACCCCTTGTCGGATCTGTCATTTACAAATATATTCTCCCATACTGTAGGATGCCTTTTTGTTCTACTGATGGTGTTCCTTTGCTGTACAGAAACTTTTTAGCTTGATGTAGTCCCATTTGTTCATTTTTGCTCTTCTTTCCCTTTCCCGAGGAGATGCGTTCAGGAAAAAGTTGCTCATGTTTCTATTCAAAAGATTTTTACGTATGTTTTCTTCTAAGAGTTTTATTGTTTCATGACTTACATTCAGGTCTTTGATCCATTTTAAGTTTACTTTTGTCTATGGGGTTAGACAATAATCCAGTTTCATTCTCTTGTATGTAGCTGTCCAGTTTTGCCAACACCAGCTGTTGAAGAGGCTGTACCAAATTGTCTTGATTACTGTGGCTTTCTAGTAGAGCTTGAAGTTGGGGACCATAATCCCCCCTGCTTTAGTCTTCCTTCTCAGGATTGCTTTGGCTCTTCAGGGTCTTTTGTGGTTCCATATGAATTTAGAACTATTTGCTCTAGTTCGCTGAAGAATGCTGTTGGTATTTTAATAGAGATTGCATTGAATCTGTAGATTGCTTTAGGCAGGATTTAATTTTTACAATATTAGTTCTTCCTATTAATGAGCACAGGATGTGTTTCCATTTATTGGTATCTTTAATTTCTCTCATGAGTGTCTTGTAGTTTTCAGGGTATAGGTCTTTCACTTCTTTGGTTAGGTTTATTCCTAGGTACTTTATTCTTTTTGATGCAATTGTGAATGGAATTGTTTCCCTGATTTCTCTTTCTGCTAGTTCGTCGTTAGTGTTTAGGAATGCAACAGGTTTCTGTGTATTCATTTTGTATCCTACACCTTTGCTGAATTCAGATATTAGATCTAGTAGTTTTGGAGTGAATTCTTTAGAGTTTTTTATGTACAATATCATGTTATCTGCAAACAGGGACAGTTTAACTTCTTCTCTGTGGACCGCTCTGCCCTTAAAAAAGAAGCTGAGTCCTTCAGGACTCTCTTGCAATGCTCAGACCTCTCTCTCTAGCCTCCTCCTCCTCCTCTTTGGACTATCCAAGTGTCTTCAAACAACCCCTCTTATGGGTCAGGAGTGTATCTTCCCTGCCTTCCCTAGAGAAAGAGGACCATTCTATGTCTTAGTTTAATGCTGCCCTCATTTATAGCAAAATGGAAGCCTGCCATCAACACAGACTTAATAAAGGCTTGTTGAGTACGTGCCTAAGTGAAATACTCATCATCACGAGATGCTGTATAGCTTGAGGAATTGTCAGGCCATTTCCTCCCAGTCTCTTCCCATTTATATTTACATCTCTCTAAGGGGCTGGACTCTAACCTTAGAGCACGTGGGAGTGAGAGACAACAAAGACATCCTTTTACTGACATTTTCCACTTGTACACCACTTGTGGAACTTCCAACCTCCCTTATGTGTTTTGTATTTTTTGTTAACTATTTCTATGGTGAAAACACTCCTCCCAGAGGACAGATATCATTGACTCAGGGCTCAACTTCAGGACAACTAAGACATTCCTTTTGGATTGCAGACAGGTTATGTTATTTTCCAGCTATTGTTTCTTTCCTCTGAAATACATTGGAGCATTTTTTCCCCACATACTCCCAAATCAATAGTGTCCCAAGCCTGCATCAAAAGGTCAGAGGACACACAGTCTTTTAGTATAATCAGGACAAAACACTTAGCAAACATTTTCAAGGTGCTTAGGAATTCAAAACACTTGCTCAATTTTAGTTTATTCATCCACTCAACAATATTTATTGAGCAACTTGAGTCAGGCCCTGTGTTAGGTGGGGAAGGGAAAAGGGAAAAGCAGGCTGACCCCACCTCAGCAAATGCCAGGGCCCCACGCTGGATCACTCTCACGGTGATCATTTGTCCCAAGGAGGAGCACATCTAACTCCCGTACGACTGTTCCTCTTCCCAAAGGCCTTTTTACCTGACTCCACAGAGGGGAGAGCTTCCCTTCCCGCATCAGACCGCCTAAGCTGATGCCCTGTGGGCTCTGAATGTTCAGCTAGAAGCCTGCACAGTACCTGGAGAACAGCATGCAAATAATTCAGGAGTCCAAATCTAGACTAAGCACCAGACATCACATATACCGTAGCGAAAGGTCTCTCCCATATACCGACTATTTGTCTCGTTAGAGACTGACAAGAACTTTAAGCTTC